CTCCTTACAACATGTCCAAAGTATGTCAGACGAAGCCCCAGAATCCTTGCCTCCAAGGAGCAGCCTGGTTTAACCCTTTCTAGGATGAATCTGTTTGTTTTCTTGGCAGTCACTTCAAATAATAACTATGAGATACCATCTCACCCCAGCAACAATAGCAAAGTTCAACAGGGAAGCAAACAACAATTCCTGGTTAAGTTGTGGAGAGAATGGAATACTTATTCACTGATGGTGGGAATGTAAAATGGTACAACACATGGAAGGTGGTCTGCTGCTGTCTCAGAAAGTTGGAAATAGAAATATATTTGACCCAGCAATTCCACTGATAGAAATAAACCCTAAAGACTATACCAGGGTCACAACTCAAATAGATGTATGCATACCAATATTTATTCATGTTAACAAAGAGATGGAAGCAACCCAAATAAGTGTCCATCAATAAATTAATGGATAGAAAAACTATGGTACATGCATACAGTGGAATATTATGCAGCAGTGTAAAACAATGAAATAGCAAAACATTACATAAAATGGAGAGCCTTGAGAATATTAAGTGAAATATCTCAATCACAAAAGGACAAATACCGAATAGCACCGCTTCTCTAAAATAGGACAGACATGGGGGAGTTGGAGAGAAAATGGGGAAGGGGTGGACAGATAATAAACACTACATTGGAACAGAGAAGGGGAAGAGCTGTTTGAAAGGAATTTATTATTATGCATTATATGTATGTGAACAGTCTGGAACAAAGGGGGCATTGCAGGGTGGACTAAGGGAGGAGGTGAGAAGGGGGTAAGAAAACGTGCAACAATGAAGAAGTTTCAAAAAATAAAAAAGAAGGGGGAAAGCTTCAAATATCCTATGATCAAGCAATTCCACTCCTATTATGTAGCTTCAATATCTAACAAAAAGTGATAAAAATACATGCACATCTATGCATATGATAAAGGACTTTCTCCAGCACTATCTAGTAAAGAATCTATTCTTTTCTCAGTGAGCACTTGGTGATAATAATACTTTCTCCTCTCTTATCAACTATCTCATTGTCCAACAGTTCAGATTTACAGCAGTAGCATAAAATATTTTATTCAGCTATTTGAAGCATGAAGTACATCTGTCTGAAAATAACAAACATTGAGGTGCAGGGCAAGAGTAACAGTGGTTGTGATAGCAAGCTTATGTGTCAGCTTAGTTAGATCTTGATTCTCAGAGGTTAGGCACTTATTTATAACATGATCTGACAGTGCTATGATGCTGTAGTCATCCTCTATTTTTTAATAATACTAGTTTCGTCATGATGCTGATTTTTTGCATCACAGCCTGATTTTTAGAACCTAACCATGTTTTAGAATCTAACCATGCTGTGATGCTAAACACTGTGACACTGATGTGTCAAATGTGATATTGGTGCCCATGGTGGACAGTGTTTGGTGGGGCTCTCCAATTAAAACAATCTTGGAAGCAGGAGTGGCATCCACTGAAATAGTTTGACTCTAGAAACTCTATGAAGTTGGAGAAACGATGAAAGTTATACAAGTGCTCAGGTCTTTCATTCATAGAGTAGCTATGAATCATCTACAACTCAACAGCACTTAACAACAACAACATGCTTACTGAAGAGCTATATACTCAATAGAAAATGATGGAAATAACATTAAGAACCCACCAACAGGCAAATAGATAAACACATTGTGACATGCATATGACGGTATACTATATGGACATAAAGAATTATGTTGATCTGTGAAAAACAATGCATTCAAACGTTGTAAATAAATCAGAGCAAAATGGAAAAAAAACCAAAACAAAACTGAACAACGGGTAAAAAAAAAATTATGGTAAGTATTTGAAAAATAACAAATGAAGATAAAGCTTTACCTCACATTCTTTGGGCATATTGTTAGGAGGGACTATTCCAATGGAAGCCCAAAGTATGTGAGATAAAGCTTTATTAACCTTGCCTCTAAGGAGTACTCTGACTGCACCTTCTCCGATACATATTTGTTTGTCCTTTGGGCAGTCCATGGGCTATTCAGTACTCTTCCCCAAACACCACAGGTTAAAGGCATCACTTCTTCTATCATAGAATGTCATTCATTGTCTAGCTCTCAGATGCATAGAAAGTGATTAAAAAGACCATAGCCTGAATCAGGCACACCTTAGTCCACAAACTGACAACACTGATCTTCAATAATTTGGAGAGATCCCTGATAGCACACTTCCCAGTGCAATATGTCTCCCAATCTCCTAACTGCTGGTACTAAGGGTATTGATTGTGGATTCAAGTAAGAATAAGTTGTTGACCATTTTAATCTTTACTCTGTATATCATGATGTTGCCTATCAGTCCAGTGGTGAGAATTTTTGTTTTCTTGACACTGAAATGCAATTCATGTAGAAGGCTGTACTGTGTTCTTCTGCAGCAAGTGTTTCAAGTCCTGCTCACTTTCAGCAAGCAAGGTTGTGTCATCTGCATAACACCCGTTATTGATGGGTCTCCCTCTAATCCTGATGCCACATTCTTCTTCACGGAATCCAGCTTCATAGAATACAGCTTTTGTATCACATATTTTGGGTATGTTGTTAGGAAAGGCTATTCTTTGGAGAGGGACATCATGCTTGGAAAGGTGACAGGGTGGCAAAAGAGAGGAAGACTCAGTCAGATGGATTGACACTGTCACTGCTGGAATGGGCTCGAGTATGTCAGAAACTGTAAGAATGGCACCGAACAGAGCAGAGTTCAGTCTGTTGCTCATAGGGTCTTTTAATCCTGTGAGGTTGAATGAACTGTTCCTCCCCGCTCCCTACCCCTTTTCTGTTACTACTGCAACCTGTAGCATTCATGCCTTCTTTTCTAACTCTCTCATGCTCATTTTCACCTCTGTGCTGCATTACAGCAGCCTGAGGATTGAAGCCCTTCCCCAGAACTTAACACATTTATGCCGCACAGAAACAGGAGGAAGCAGAGGGCAGACCACCTTTCTTGGACAGCCAAGTAGGATGAGTACTCCGATTTCAGAGGCTGCTTTCCTCCTCCAGCACCACAACCTCGACCTCTGAAACCTCCCACCAAGAGAAGGGGACAACACAATGAGTTCTCTACTTCCCCGACCCGGTCCTTATCCTCACCCCACTCTCACTCTCTTGCTGGGGACTGAGGAAGTGGAGGAAGGGCGGCTTCCAGGGAGCTTACCCGGCAGCGTCTCGTAGATGTCTATAGAGTCGTCCATGATCAGGGCACTGGGGTACGTGAGTATGATGTATACACGTTACATGTCTGTGTGTGCTTGCTTCCACAGCGCTGCTGGGCCACCGAAAAGCCTTACTTAACAAAGTTTTTAGGTGGCTCTGAGGAGCAGCGAGAGTTAGCATTCCGGTTGCCATGACAGCAAAGTGATCCATCCTGATTGGCTGAGCCCACATATGGGCGTGGACGAGGGGCGGGGTCGAGGGTGGGGCGGGGCTAGCTCCCGAGGGTTGTGTTTCTATCAACCAAACTGGTTGGTGGTGGTTGTTGAGTGCTGTCGAATCAGAACTGACTCATAGGTGACCGTCCAGCGGCCTTTCAGAGGCAGTAAATCTCAGGGGAAGAGATTGCCTAGCTTTCTCTGGCGGAGCAACTGTTTCCTGCCTTAGGAATTGCATCGTAGTTTCTTACCCCTAGGCCTAGTCTACTACTCAAAGGAATTTAACAAGTAGAAGTCATGTATGATTCGATAAATGTCCAGAAGATGAGTGGTTGCCAGCGGCTAGGGGAAGAAGGGAATGGAGAGCGACGATTGATGGGTACTTACTTTTTCCTGGTGTTGGATATGTTCCGAATGTACATATTCAAGAGAACACTGGTGGCCTATAAGTAATGAGTTACTCTGTCAACACAAAGGCAAAGGTACGCAGTTCAAATTCACCAGCTGCCCTGTAGGAGAAAGATAGACAATCTCCTTCAGGACAATTTGTTGTTGATTTTATGTGCTTGCGACTCATAGGGACCCTGCGTACAACAGCTCTGAACCCTACTCTATCCTGAGCCAATCTTACTGTCTCTGACACACCTATTCCCATTTCCCCAGTCACTGAATCAATCCATCTCATCGAAGGTCTTCCTCTCTTGAGCTATCCCTCCATCCTCCCAAGCATGACTTTCCTCTCTAAGGACTGGTCCCTCCTTGCAACATGTCCAAAATATGTCGGATGAAGCTTCAGAGTCCTTGCCTCCAAGGAGCAGCCTGGTTTCATCCTCTCCAGGTTGAACCTGTTTATTCTTCCTAGCTGTGCATGGTATTCTCAATACTCTTCTCCAGCACCACAGCTCAAAGGCATCAACTCTCTATCATTCCTTGTCATTGTCCAGCTTTCTGATGTATAGAAAGTAATTGAAAAGACCAAGGCCCAAGTCAGGCACACCTTAGTCTCCAGACTTACATAGAGGCTCTTCAGTACTCTGGAAAGAAGCCTGACAGATTTTCCCAATGCAATTCATCTTTTGATTTCCTGACTGCTGATACCAAGAGTGTTGATTGTGGAGCCAATTGTTAAAACCAATTGTTAACAAGCAGAAGCTGTTAACAATCTCAATCTCCTCACCATCTATCATGATGCTGCCAATCAGCCCAGTGGTGAGAATCTTTGTTTTCTTGATGTTGAGCTTCAATTAATATTGACTGTAGTCATTGACCTGCAAAAACTCTATATAGCACAATTTCATAATTAAAAAGAGCACACTTAGACTAGCAAATATGGCAACTGAGGCTGAGCCCTCAAATATGGAAACAGTTGTAAGCAGACACTAGTAATAGGAACGTGGAATGTGAGAAGCATGAATGTAGGAAAACTGGACGTTGTTAAGAAAGAAATGGAATGCATAAATAATGACATAATAGGTGTTGGTGAAATGAGATGGATTGGTATGCGACATTTTGAATCAGACTATTTTGAATATGATCGACTATGCTGGAGATGAAAAGGTGAGGAAAAAGGGGGTGCCTTTCATAGTTAAAAAGCCTCATTTCTAGATCCATCTTGAAATATAATGTTGTGAGTGACAGGATGATATCCAGACAATTTACAGATTCTGAAAAACCAGCTGGAGAGTCGGGCATGTTGTTGTTCTTGTTATGTGCTGTGACTCATGGTGACCCTATGTACAATAGTTCTGAAGCCTACCCTGTCCTGAACCAATCTCACTGACTTTGATACACCCCCAGTGCCCTAGTTACTTTATCAATCCATCTCATCGAGGGGTTTTTCTCTCCTGCGCTGTTCCTCCACCCTTCTAAATGTGAGTCCTTCTCCAAAGACAAGTCCCTCCTGGGCACGTGCCCAAAGTTTGTGAGACACAGCTTCAAAATCTTACACTCCAAGGAGAAATTTGCTGTTTTCTTGGCAGTCCACGGCATGTTCAAGAATCTTCTCCAGCATCACAACACAAAGGTATCAATTCTTCTATCATCCTTAGTCATTATCCAGCTATCTGATGTATAGCAAGTAATTGTGAAGACCATGGACTGGATCAGGCACACTTTAGTCTCTAGACTGACACTGTTGCTTCTCAATACTCTGGAAAGGTCTCTGACAGCAGATTTACCTAATGTAATTTGCCTTTTTATTTTGTGACTGCTGGTGCCAAAAGTGTTGACTGTGGAGCTGAGCAAGCTGTAACTGTTAATCTCTTCTCCATCCATCATGTTTGAGTATGGTACAGAACACTAACTTTGATAGTCACACAGCACTAAAAATATAATGTTGTTGTGTACTGTAGAATCGGAACTGACCCATAGCTGACCCTCCGGTGGGTTTTCAGAGGCAGTTAATCACATGGGAGGAGACTGCCATCCTTCTTCCACAGAGCAGCTAGCTGGTGGCCTTGAACTGCGTGCTTTCGGGATTGCAGCACAGCTTCTTGTCACTAGGCCATGAGTTCCCTTGAACATTTAAAAAATGGTTAAAATGAGAAACATTATTATGCAGATTTTATCTGAATTTATAAAAAGTTTAAGGAAACCTAATGCTGGAGATCTTCCTTGCTCTGTGCAAGGCAATATCTTTACTCAGTTGCAAGATCTTCTGTGACATTCTCAATCATCTCGGAATTCCCTCAGAATTGTAGGTAATTCATGGGGAACTCTTGTAGACCAGGCACCCTCTTAAAGAGATGAGGACCAGCATCTACAGGAAGAAAAGCTCGGCCTGCTCTTTGCTCACGTCCCTTGTCACACAGGATACCTACTGATGGAGATACTGGTGGAAGGGGATTTGCTCACAGACCCTTTAGCCTGCCACACCTGATGGCCCAAGCTTGAAGAATCTGCCCTGTCCTCCAATCCTTGTCCGTGGCCCAAGATTTCAGAGATCTACTTTATTTTAAAACTTTTGTTGGTGAAATGTGCAGAGCAAAACACATGTCAACCATTTCTATTAGTTCAAGTACAGAAATTACTTTTTTTTTTTTAATGTGTGTACCGTCAAACTGGATCTGACTGGTACAGGAGGCGATTGTTCCTCCTTCTTCAGCAGAGCATCTGGTGGATTTGAACAGCACCACCTCTGGGATTGCAGTGCAGTTTCCTGCCACTAGGCCACCAGAGCTCGCCAGAAATTACATATTTTGTGTAACCAGTTTTATCTTCTTTTAAAATAATCCCTTCCTCATTAACTCATTGTCCCATAAGGTTCCTACTTAATCTTCCATGTCGCTATTGTCAATTTGATCTGTATAGTTCTCAAAAAGAGCTTGTGACAGAGTCCACAGTGAGTTGGGATTTTAGTCCAAATGCAAAGTGTCCCTTCAGTTCGAATCTACCAGTGGTTTCTTATGAGAAAGACAAGTCAGGCTTTTTTACAATTTACAGAGTGAGAAACTCAAGATAGGGTTGGAAATGACTCAATGAGTGAATGCTCCAAAGAGGCATTTTTTACTAGTTAAAACTCTTGGTTTCAGTTTACAAGGATATTTTTGTTTTTGTTGTTGTATACTGTTGAATCAGATCTGAATGGCACAGGAGACTGCCTCTCCTTCTTCAGTGGAGCATCTGGTGGATTTGAACCGCGTGCCTTTGGGATAGCAGCGTAGCTTCTTGCCACTAGGACTCCAGAGCTCCTTCAGGGATATTTTTGACTTAAAGATTCTCAAGGCAGTTGTCTCGGAGGTCCATTCAATCTTGGTGTCTCTATAAAGTTCTGAGTCCGTAAGGGTCTGAAATTCTGTTTTGCATTACCTCCCTTTTGATGAATATTCTTCTATTGACTCTTTGAATAAAATGTTCAATAACTGCAGTGAAGTGCCATTCATTCCTTCCGGTCTGAACAAGACACTTGATGTACATAATTAGCCTCATATCTTCTGTCTATTCCTTTCTTCCTGTTGTTCTAAGTGAAAAGAGATCACTTTTTGTGGCTGCTTGCAAGCTTTAAGACCTCAGGAACCTACAACCAACCAGGTAGAGAAGTACTAAATGCATTATCAAGCTAATTAACTGAGATGTCCAGGAAAGTCATGACTCTAAATCTCCAAACCAAGGAACCAGTCCAGTCAGGTGTTTGGTTGTACAGTCTCAGCAGCTTTTCCCTTTTGTTGCAAATATATCACACAAACTCAAAAACTCACTGCCATCAAGTCAGCTCTGACGTTGAGTGATCCTCCATCAGATTTTCAAGGCTCTGAATACAATGCAAAGGGAGCTTTCCCATCTTTCTCCTGTGGAGGTGCTGATGGATTCAAACTGCTGGAGACAACCTGAATTAGCAGTGAATTCACTGCAGATGCCACCAGGGCTCCCTATCACACTAATTTCACCCATTCAACTTTTTACAGTTGTGTAATTTAGAGCATCAATCTGTTTTCAGCTGTTGTATTTGTATGTCTGATCAGCACACCAGGGCTCTTTTGTCCCACCCATTACTGGCAGGCAAAGGAGGTATGACTCACCATTGTTTTGGCCACCTTTAAAAAAATATTTATGCACACCCATGATTATCGTGGCTTTGTTCACAATAGCAAAGAGTTGGAAACAACCTAAGTGCCCATCAACAAATGAATGGATAGAGAAGACACAATGGAATACTATGCTGCATTGAAAAACAAGGAACTCATGCAATGTTATTCAAAATGGGTGACCCTGGAGGACATTATGCTGAGTGAAGTATCTCAGTCACAAAAGGACAAATACTGCATGGTGCCACTGTTGTAAAACAGGACTGACCTCTGGGATAGGGGGAGACTGAGAAAGATGAGATAAATAATGTATACTGCATGGAAACAGATGAGGGAGAGAACTGTTTAAAGGGGATATGTGATTAGGTATTTTTGTCATGACAGGAGTCCAGAGAGAAAGCTGCATAGTGGAGCCCAGAGAGAAGGCTGCTCCTGGGAGGAGGGATTGTAAAACAATGAAAGAATTTTTCTTTTACTTTTCCAAGAGGGTATTGTACTAGGTGGGAGGGTTGAGAGGGGAGAAAAGTGCAACAATGAATGAATGGAAATCCAATGTCTCTGTACATTTTCATTGAAATTAATAATAAATTAAAAAAGGGGAAAACCCCCCAAAACATTTATATAGAAAATAAATTAGGAAGTTTTCTCTCATCTATAGGTAAGGTGAGTTATCACCTTACATGATGATGGCAAGCAGGCAGCATTAGCTGGGCAATATACAAGGTTTAAAATACAAGGTTGCCTACACATATTAAGGTATGCTCAGTCTTAAACAGGGAGCTCTGTGGTGTAGTCCCTATCAAATTTTGGTGCTAATTCAAAGACTGTACATCTTCAGTGATTCAAATCCCTCAGTGGTTCTGAGGGACAAAGATGGGCAGTCTTCTCTCACTACAATTTACAGCCTCAGAAACCAAATGGAAGGTGTTCTGAATTGAGCAATCTGGAAGAGACTGATGCTTAAGTTAATATACTAACATAGTGAGCTTCTTTTCATTCACAAAATCTCAGCTCAAGAGCTATCTTCTTAGAGCTGTACTACTTGAACACATTATTTGAGTTGGGTTTCTCCCATGACTTAATACATCATCACATATTTTAATAATCACATTTATTATTTTAAGTCTTTAGAATAATCTATTTTGAGCCAGGTGCTAGTATTTTCTTTTTATCTTTCACAAGATGAAAATAAGACACTTGATACCTCTCACCAAGTTTCATATATGTCAGTGTTTCTAAGCAGGGTACTGTAGTAACTGGCTGAATTCTTGTTACTTTATAGAAAATGATGCCAGACAAATTGTTGCCTACAAAAACCATAAGAAGGTATGGTGGTGCAGTGACTACTGGATTTTGCCAGCATCGAGCTGTCAGGACCAAGTTATTCCACAAGAACCTTACTTTTCTTTAGGGAGCTGGCTTTTAAAAAAAGTATTTTATTAATTAACTACCTAATATACCCAATAGGGAGTTCTGGTGGGCTTATTAGTGAGCAGCTCTGCTGCTTCAAGGGATGGCCTATCTTCTTCCTGCTATTTGGACCTCAGTGACTGGGGTAATAAGGGCTAGATGTGTCAGAGACAGTAAGACTGACATAGGACAAAACAGGGTTTAGGGCTATTGTACACAGGGTCACTGTGAGTCATAAGCAGCTTGACAGCACAATAACAACAACAAACCCACTGCAGAGTCAGCTGAGTTGGTTCTGACTCAATAGCACATAACAACAGTAACATACCCTGTAATACTTTTACAGGTATCGCTGCAAACTCTGACTGCACCTTCATCTATGAATTGTGTAATATTCTAAAGAAAGAAAAGAGGATCCTTTCTCTAACAGGGTTAACAGATTTGCTTTTCATTACCAACAGTTCAGAAAAGATTTTTCACCTTCACACCACAGTTCATTATTGGAAAAGAAGTTATATACATTTTTAGGACTGTTATCAAATAGTATTTATTTTAAAAAGAAAAAAAAATTCCAAAGCATGATCCATTCCATTCAGTGGCAAAGACTGACAGGTGGCACACACTAAGAGAATACGAATCGGTTTTCACTGGCTGACTAATAAGTCTCTATGCCTGGAAAGGTGGCTGGCTATGCGTGATTTCTGAGGAATCGGGGTTAAAAAGCAATGCAAAAAATGAGTTTAAAAACTTGAAAGAGTTTTAAGATAGACTTAGGTTTTCATGATTTTCCCAAAGCCAGTCATGGTATTTATTTAATTTATGGTCTTCAGGGTGCACCTGGAAGAAATACAATAATGAGGTTAGGAGATGGAGGTATTATGGAAGCAGGTAAAAAATCTTTTGTTGTTTAAGTTGGCCTTTTATAGCTACAGGGCAGAAAAATAGATCTCACAATAATATACTAAAAAATGGTAACTTTTATGCCTTAAACTAATATAATTCTTTATAGTTTACAAAGCACTTCTGAATTTAGTGCTGATTCTCTTATGAAGTCAGGGCATGGAGCAGGGTGGTGATGGTATGACAGAACTATTAATACCTTATTTTTCAGAAGGAGGTTTAGACCCTGCGAAGTTACCAGGATTGTTCAGGTTAAAGTGGAGGTATGGAGACGGTTACAAGAGCCTTCCGTTAGACTTGATCAGACCTACTGCTGAAGGTTTTATGTTGAGTCAGAAGGCCGTGGATCAGGTCAACCAGCAGCAATGTGAGTTGTCAGATCCCAAAATGCTGGTGGGCTGGCACATTCAATGGAATGGGTAGTTGAAGTAGGCCCCAACAGTACACATTTTAAGCCCAAAAATGCTTGCTTTCCTGTCGTGGTAACTTTCAAATGCTAGTATAACAGTGACAGGAAGAAAACTAGTCCAGGGCTTAGAAACAGTTTATGAATCAAGAAAGGAACTGGAAGCAAAGTGATCAAACTACTGCAGGTCAATCAGAGGGTATATGAAGGGATTTGCAAGAGTCTATGGCTCTCTTCCTGCTTCCAATAATCCCACACCACTTGTTGCTTCTAAAGCTGGGAAGAAAACTGGTTTTAACTTGTCTAATACACTGGATATACGATGGCCGACGACAGTAAGCCTCACCTGTTTCCACTCATCGACGCAAAAAATCCGGTAAGAGTCATTGCCGTATTTCCCAATCCCATGAAGTTCAATTGGATACTTCCACTGCTTTGTCAGATACTCATCTGAAGAATAAAATACCCCAGATTCTGTCAGCCTCTAAAAACACATTTTCCTTACATGTGTGATGATGGAGAACAGATTAGTGAGAGCAGAAGAAACAATGAAAATACAAAAATCTTTCCTAACAGCCCCAGAGTAACTGCTCTTCTGAAATCTGCAGCATCTTTATCTAAACAGCTCACTAGCCATTAATTTGAGCTGTGTTAACTAACTAGAGGTAATATTCTTGAGGGGAAGGACTGAGAGTGATGAACAAATATTTATTGTTAGGCTCAGTTGGATGCTGTGATCTAGACTGTTTTTAAATGCATTTGGTGCTTGATGGAATGACTTCTCTTAATATAGTCAAAGGAGGACATTCTTAAAAGGGCACAGTTGAATGTTTTCTCTTTAGGGAATACGGGATGTACCTGAGAACTTGACAATGGTCTTTGCGCGAAGATCATAGAGACCAAGAGGCTTAAGCAGTTCTGACACATCTCTCCAGTCTGCACTTCTTGCTACTTCAGCTGAAGGGTACTTCTCCAAAAACTCCCAAAGCACAGGTATTGCCATTTTGCCTAGGAAGTAAAAATAACCATATAATTGAAGTCTACAGATGGGCTGACCGCAGATTTAGGCACTTCCTCAGCTAGAAATACCATATAGTTTTGTTTTGTTCTTCTCTGTCTTCCTCTGCCCAAACCACCAACAAAAGTTATTACCTGAATTAGCAGCTACCTTGAGGGGAAAAATATACCAAAACACTAACTCATTTGGTTAACAGTCCAAAATAATGTTGACATTTGACCTTATATGATACCAATTTTTAAAGAATTAGCTAATCAGTTAGCTAGTATAAAAACACAGAAAGCACAAGGTGTCAATGATATTAAAGAAAATATTCAATTCAAAGTGAATTTACATGCACCAGAGAATAGAAGAATGCTAAATAACAGATTTTCACTAATGACCAAAATTAATTTAGAAGTAGAAAAATAAAAAGAACCTGATCATCATTGTCAAAGAGGATCACTGATGTCATTGAGCCTATTTTCCCATAGAGCCTTGAGGAACAAAAGGGGAATCCAAAGCCATGCAATTAAAAACTGAACCTGAAGTGCAGCAATGAATGAATGAAAATCCAAAATCTCTGTAAATGCTCATTAAAATTCTTTTTAAAAAAACCCAAAAAACCTGAACCTGAATGATGTACCCTAATCAATTAAGATTTTTAAACAGTCTCTACTAAGCCAACGATGGAAAAAATTCACAAACCTGAGGTCCGATTAAGAAATATAGTAGCGATGAGGAGCTTCCATGGATCATGAAAAAGGGTTTCCTGAACAAGATTAAAAGGTGACCGAGGAGGGGTCCACTTCTTAAAAG